TTAAGGAATCACCTCTGTTTTTGTGTTCCTTGTTCATAGAATTTTCTTTTTTAATGAATTTATTATCTTTTAAATCTGAGTGTAGAAAATTTTTAAAGTCGTTTTCTGTGTCTTACCTTTATTACTCTGGAATAGGTTTTTGTTTCTTTATTTTGTATATTCTTTTTTATTCTGATATTTTCCACAGTGTGGTAATCCTTGGTTTTCTGTTTGTTTTTTAACAAAGAAGGCCTTGAGATCTGACATGGATTTACTCTGCTACTGTGTAAATACATATCCTATTTTTTTGATAGACCTTTTCCCTTGAGCAGGAAATATTTATATACATTGCTGGGGGCATTTTGCCCAGGATTCTTTACCTTTATATTCAGCAGGTATGAAACTAGTCATGAGATTGTGGTCTTCTATTTTCAGGACTAACTTCCTGGGTATGCAACCTTATAGTTATAGAATACCATGTTTAGAAGGGCCCTTCATGTGAATTGGTTCTTATCTTTTACAGTCTTGGAATTCTTTTTTTTTTTTTTTTCCTGTACTGGGAATTGAACTGAAGGGTGCTCTATCACTGAGCTACATCTCTGGCCCTTTTTATTTTGAAACAGCGACTCACTAAGTTGCCAAGACTGGCAACTAATTTTTGATCCTTCTGCCTTGGCCTCTTGAGTGGCTGGCATTAAAGGTGTGCACCCAGCACATTCTTAATGTTTGAACAAGGGTCCCCACATTTCCAATTTGCACTGACTCCACAAATTATGTATTATTTCCTTCCTTTGTTTCCATTATCACCTTGCCAAAATAAAAGGGACTTTTCCTTTTTTCCCCTTTCCTTTCTTTGCTTTATTTTCATTTCTTTCTTTCCTTCGCTTTCTTCCCCTTACCCCCTGCTCCCTTTCCCTTTCTCTTCCCCTTAAGTCAGGAACCTCAGCTATTCCTGAAGAGTTCTTTCATTAGGGAATTGCCTGTGCTCTGTAGGTGGGGGATCATTGGCACAGTTGTTCCAGAAATCTTTGTTTCCATCTCATTTCTTTTCCCTTTCATACTTCTAACTCTGGACTTCAGTGTACTGCTGGTTCGCAGCTCCACTGTAGTTAGTTCTCTGTCAGTGACTTTCTTTTTTCTGTTTCATCTGCCTTCTGTCTTCCAGAAATAATCTCTTGATGAATCTTCCCATGCATCTTAATTTCCTTTGTTGTTGAGCAGTTTGTGCTTTGCCATTCTGTGCTTTTTATTTCACTTGTATCTCAGGATGGGGAGGAAGCAAACAAGTTAACTTAGTCTGTCATATGATTCTGAACAACCTGCTACCTTCTCCTGGAAGTTAAGTGATTGGATTAGATTACCTCAAGGGTCCCTATATATAATATTGTATGTTTCTAAGCATCATCCCTTTAGATGAATGTCAAGTCCCAGCTTAGATGTGGCCTTACTGATTCTGGCACTTCATTTACTCTTATACCTGCACTTCATTTTTTTGGCTCACACTTATTTATGAGTTAAGTATAAGAGTTCCAGTGGCCTTTAACTTGACTGAAAACTTAAGAAAACTTTTAATAGTTTAGTAGAATTATTGACTTTAATCCATCCTCTTTTTATGTAACCAGAAAGAATTGTGTTTAAAATACAAGTATTGTACTTTTTATATTGCGGCACAAGCAATTAGGAATACATTTAGTGTTTACCTATTAAATGAAAATATAACCATATACTGGGCATATATTCTTATAAATTAGTTTTTCTTATTTGGATATTAATTTTTATTTATTTTTTTTCAATTAAAAATTTATTTAAACACATTAAACATGTTTTCTTGGCTGACTTCGAACGTTTTCCTTATTTTTCCTCCATACATCATGGACTTGATGATGATGTACAATTATTAGTACAAACTCAAAATTTCATTGCTTTCTATATCCGTGGGTAGGGTGTGAGTTCTACAAATCAGATGTAGAATGAAGAGAAATTCTATGAATGGTAATACAAAGGGGAGCTCCCCACATACAGAGTCCATTGCACAACAGAGACTTATGTTTCGGTACAGCTGTGTGCCTAGCCAGTGAGTCTGTCCTTGGAAACATCAAGTGAAGGTGTCATTAAATGAATGATATGGTCTAAAATGTAGGAGAGGACAATGGAAAAATATTCCTCATGTGTTGTCATGATTCTTTTCATATGCCATTCATAAATTATGTGTTTTTCATGCATTGGTTCTGGCTTTAGGGGAGCGGGATAGTAATGCATGTACTGGGTCATATTTCTATAGAGGCTACAGTTCTCATTGTCTTTTTTTTTCATGTTATTTAAATATATTTATTTAGATCTTTATTCCATATACATTTTTTTTAAAATTTTTTATTGTTGGTTGTTCAAAACATTACATAGTTCTTGATATATCATATTTCACACTTTGATTCAAGTGGGTTATGAACTCCCATTTTTACCCCATATACAGATTGCAGAATCACATCAGTTACACATCCATTGATTTACATATTGCCATACTAGTGTCTGTTGTGTTCTGCTGCCTTTCCTATCCTCTACTATCCCCCCTCCCCTCCCCTCTTCTCTCTCTACCCCCTCTACTGTCATTCATTTCTCCCCCTTGTATTATTTTTCCCTTTCCCCTCACTTCCTCTTGTATGTACTTTTGTATAACCCTGAGGGTCTCCTTCCATTTCCATGCAATTTCCCTTCTCTCTCCCTTTCCCTCCCACCTCTCATCCCTGTTTAATGTTAATCTTCTTCTCATGCTCTTTGTCCCTACTCTGTTCTTAGTTACTCTCGTTATATCAAAGAAGACATTTGGCATTTGTTTTTTAGGGATTGGCTAGCTTCACTTAGCATAATCTGCTCCAATGCCATCCATTTCCCTGCAAATTCTATGATTTTGTCATTTTTTAATGCAGAGTAATACTCCATTGTGTATAAATGCCACATTTTTTTTATCCATTCGTCTATTGAAGGGCATCTAGGTTGGTTCCACAGTCTTGCTATTGTGAATTGTGCTGCTATGAACATCGATGTAGCAGTGTCCCTGTAGCATGCTCTTTTTAGGTCTTTAGGGAATAGACCGAGAAGGGGAATAGCTGGGTCAAATGGTGGCTCCATTCCCAGCTTTCCAAGAAATCTCCATACTGCTTTCCAAATTGGCTGCACCAATTTGCAGTCCCACCAGCAATGTACAAGTGTACCCTTTTCCCCACATCCTCGCCAGCACTTGTTGTTGTTTGACTTCATAATGGCTGCCAATCTTACTGGAGTGAGATGGTATGGATATTAATTTTTAAATGTAGAGGGTAATGAATGATGTTTATCTGATTTATTAATATAATTCATATAAAATGGTATTATGTGAAATATGATGAAAGTATCACACATCCTATGATGTAGATGGCAGTCATATGTTGAATGCTGTTGTCTGACTTTTATCAACAAGTTTCTAAATTTAACTGAATTTTGTCTTCACTTTGTGGCATTTATATATTTCCCAAGACATCTTTACATACACTTTGAAAGAGTCTACAAAAAATTGTTGAACAAATTACTATGTTGATGGGATAATTATAATAATCAATACAAAATTTATTGGAAGTTAAATCTAGAAAAGACTTAGTAATTATTTGGGATCAAGTCCAGTCTTCCAGAAGAATTAATTGTTTGGCTAATAACACCTGTCAGCACACTGCTTACTAGGGTTAATTAGATTGATCAGCCTGACTAGATGAGTTTCTGCTGTGGTCTTTCTCTTACTCATTGTGTATTTTATTTGGTAAAAAGAACAACTTCCCTTTTGGAGGAGAACCTTCAGTCTAGTCTATACCAGAAGTTCAACTTCCACTAATAAATAGTTTTGAGTTTCTTTGACCTAATGTAATTAGGTTAGATTCATATTTCTGAGTAAATAACTTTTTCATAAAAATTTTAATAGTGTTTAAATATTACATGTTATTGAAATTTGAAAAGTAAAATAGTTAATTTTTTAAAAAATTAACACTTATTTTAATTTATTTAATCCTTGTTATTTTAAGGAATATTAAATTAATATTGATATTTAATTAATGCTTAATATTTGTAAAGAATAAACCAGTAAATATATAGTTAATATAGAACTCTGACAGGAGCTTATCTGCACTTAAATTGAGACCAGAAATTTGGTTTTACTTTGGCTTACTATTATTCATTTGCTAGTGGATACATGTAAATAATTAGCTGTAAGATAACTTAGTGAGGGCTGGGGTTGCAGCTGAGTGGTAGAGCGCTTGCCTAGCACATGTGAGGCCCTGGGTTCGAACTTCAGCACCACATAAAAAAATAAGTAAATAAAGGTATTGTGTCCATCTACAATTATAAAAATTTTTTTAAAAAGGTAACAGCCATCATTTCTTTAGTAATTTATTTCAAGTTATATTAACAGATTATGTGAGAACACAGAGATTTATCCTAAGTAGCTTCAGAATCATGTATGCTCTATTATTTCCTGTTATTTGTGAAAAAAATAGACATTTATTTCTGTCTATATTAAAATCACCTCTGAGAAGAGATGCTTGTTAAATATTCAGATACCATTGCTTGGTGTAGACTTAACTGCACTAAAACTTCTGAAGCTTACAAATATGCTTTTTTTTCCTTGAAGTTCGAGAACCACTCCTTTATAGCAAAAAACACTGTTGAAGAACTGTTGTTTTCTAAATTTTCCACACAGCTGACATTTAGTAGTTTGCTAACATCCTTGTAATTTAACGCTGACTAGACAACTTGATTAGATAGACAAAAGTTTGCACGAAGATTTATCTGATTAATGTGAACATAAAAACTCACATCAATCTCCAAAATAAATTGATAATATATGTGATAAATTAATACCTTTAAGTTAGAGTAACATTTGTAGAACTAACTTGCTTGTTGTATAATATATTTTCTTTTGGTGCTTTAAACACTGTTTCTGCTGTTATTAGAATACATCTTCCTTTTTTATTTGATTTCCTTGCTGACTTCCTCCTCAGACCAACAATGATTATGCAGCCATGTCGGTAAGTAGATGCAAACTAAAGCTAGCACATAACATTAGAAAATAATGAACATCCTACAGGCTTATTTTTCTCTGCTTATGTATTTAAATTAACTTCTAATTCTTTTGGCAGTGACTTTGATATATTTGTAGTTTTGTAGAAACATAAGTTTGAAGGTAATGTTAGTTGTTTTGATGAAATAGAATTCTCTGTGATTTGATTATGAAAGTTAATATTGAAGGCATATCTGTGGGGAGTGCTGTGCTTTTGGAAACCTCTCTGTGGTCTTTCCTGATCTGTGAAATCATGTCAATGGGAATGTACACCCCAAAGATTTTTGTGAGGCTTACGTGAAATAGTATACATAAAATGTTTAGAACAGTGCCTGGCATAAAATACAGTCTTAAAAATATTGTTATTATTAGTCACTTCCAAGACAATTTATGCCTTTTCTGAGTTTCTCTGCAACTCTATTAGCCAAACTTGTAGAAATTTAACCTAGTACATGACCCATTGTGAGCCAATGTGATTCATGACCAGTACAAATTTTTCTCAATTCAGCCCAGTATTGCTTTCCTGAATTGCCTTAGTAATTCTCTCTCTCTCTCTCTCTTTTTTTTAGAGGGGGGGGATTTTTTAATATTTATTTTTTAGTTTTCGGTGGACACAACATCTTTATTTTATTTTTATGTGGTGCTGAGGATCGAACCCAGCGCCCCACTCATGCCAGGCGAGCACGCTACTGCTTGAGCCACATCCCCAGACCAAGCAATTCTCTTTTCAAAATAGCTTTATCATATTTTTCTTTTTACTCTATTTGTCTTTTCAACATACAATTTTGAACTCTTGACAACCAGATTAAGAAGTAATTAAATATTTTCAAAATGTATAAATATTGAAAATTCTTAGGGGAAAAAAATCTCATCTAGCATTTGAAATGTAAATGTTCCTAATTTGTATCCTTCTTTTTCTGTTCTTATTCCTATTATTAAAGTTAAAATTTTGATTATTGTAATTGTCTTTGGATTGATCTCTTCCACCAGTCTCTCCTTACTTCAGTCCATCTTATACACCAATGTCAGATAATTCTTTCTAAAGTACAGTTTAATCTATTTCCCTGTTCAAAAACTTCTGGGGCTCTTGATTGTTTAATCAAATAAAAATTCCAGAGGCTAGCAAAAAGTATAAAAGACATATTAAATTTGCTAACATATTTCCTACCGATAAACCATTTATATATTCAGAAAGCAAAAATGGTGTTCATAAGTGAGACTGACCCTTTGTCCCAAAATTCAAATTGTTTATTGTCTTTGATTTTAGAGGGTAGGGGATTGTTCTAGATAAATTTTAATTAGAAATTTTTAAAGTTTGGTACTTGAATGTCCAGTGTTTTGAAAGTTATTTATGTAGAATAGTTCTTTATATGGATATAAATTAGGCATTTCTATGACATGTTTTGCTATCTATTTTCATACTATTATAATGAGTTAATTCCAAGTACACAAAACATCAACAAAAACCAACCATTGACAGTATAATCATTGCATTAGATAAAGCTAAAGATTTTTGAGACAGAGAGTATATGAAAAGGTCGAAAACAGTCAAAGCCTTTTATGTGAAGTAGAATTTATGTTTTTATGAAGGTTTTTCTTAATGCTTTAAAACAGGTGATTTTTCAGTGTAGGAAGTTAATTGCAAAACAAAATTGCCTCTTTGTCAAAAGTGAGCATACTTTTATTTTATAACTTTAATACTTTTAGACATTTATTAAGTAGGCATCTCAGTTAAATGCTGACTAATCTTGGTGAGAGATTTATTTAATAACTTGTAAGTATTGTGTGTATATATAGCATAGCATACTTAAATACTTCCCTGCTGTTAAACACTGTAAAAAACAATATTTTGAATTGCTTTTGGTGAAGGCTCAGTTGGAAGTAGTAGTAGTATTAGAAGGGATTTTAGAAGGGAACACTATGAGAGTTTTAGTAGGAAATCTGTGAATTAGGATATGACTTCAAACCTGACCTGTGACAGATAAGAGGGATATAAATAGAAATAATTATAATGGACTCTTTTCAGTCTATAGACTATATGTATATGCACTGTATTAGTGTGCATACATAATATGCACACTTACATATCTTATAACTTCACTCTTTGACAGAGCTAAAGATGAAAATAGACTAGATCATTGGTTCAGGCTTTATGAGCAAAGTACCATTTTGAATAGGAAGATTCAATATTAAAAAACTAAAAATTAAAGTGTAGCATCCAGCCACTTTACTTCCTGATAACAACAGAGGTTTATGTTTAGAAAATTAAGGGGTTTTTTTTTGCACAAAGGAGTGGCAAATTTCTAGGGATTCAAATAATATCTTCCCCTTTAATCTGTATTCCACAATAGAAAGAAAAGAAAGATTTTTTCCTCTTTAAGTTAAGGGGCAAAAGTTCAAATGGGGAATAAGAAAAGGGACTAAAATATGTGGATAACAGATTGTTTAAATTGAAATTACCTTTTATTGTGAGCAGAAAAATCAAAAGGGAGGTCAGATCTCTAAGGAAAAAGAAAGTAGGTGGTAGAGAAAGATATTAGAGTCAGACGTTTCCTGTGCAAGTCAAGATCTGGTGAGGCCATAAAGAGTCCATTTTTCCTTCTGTTTTCCTTTGTTTCTTCTTTCCCTCTCCTGTAAAGAGGGAACAATAATGGAGAAAGGTAAGGGCAGAGCTAATGGGAGGGGAGAACAACCTCAATACATTTACAGGATGTTTGCAGGTCAGATAGAGATAAAAAAAAATACAACATGTGGATATACACTTAGTAAAAACTTATGCAAGGTACTAAAATCCAACAAGTTAAAGAGATTAGGCTTTGCAGAGTAAAGTCCCACCAAAGTAGTATGTTCAGGCTAATATTACATATGAGGGGGAAGGTTCAGACTGTGGGAAACCACCTTTTAATCATTTACTTTCATCCAGGAGACTTTAGTTGTTGTAAGAAGGCTGTCATGTTTTAAGTCTTTCTATCTTTTATGGAAATCAATGTGATAGATGGTAGTATTGAGGTAAAAATATTTTTAAAGAGCATATTCCTTTCTTATTCTTTTTTTTAATATTTGTTTATTTATTTGTTTGTTTGTTTTTTTATGTGGTGCTGAGGATTGAACCCAGTGCCTCACATGTGCTAGGCAAGTGCTCTACCCTGAGCTACAACCCCAGCCCCAAGGTTAAAATTGTTAGAAGCAAAAGAGGAGCGATTGGTAAAGATCTGCTGTAGTTGTCTGTAAAGACTTATTCTTAACAGAATTACCTATTCACAAGTCCTTGTTATTCAGGATAAGTACATGCCTGGGCTTTGAGAATCCTCAAATTTGAGGATACTACTATGCTATATAATTTTTTTCAGAAAAATGCTATGAAATATAATTGAAAACCAAAGACCTTAATGAGAGTTATTTCATCCATGCCAAGACAGCAAAGCCACATAGAGATGGGGAAGTTGGTTTGACTGCAGTCAGCCTTTGAATGATTTTTACCCCATCATACTTATTTCACAGAACATGCTATTCTAATGTGTACCTAAATAAATGATGCCCTATTAGTCCTAGACCCTCAGAATCATCCTTAAAAGGTTGGCACTGAAATATAAATCCTTGAATGACTAAGATCTCCTCTGTGCTATGTCTTTAATTATGGCTGTGTTTATAATGTATTAACCACAAACATGCATTAATAAGAGATAACCGGTAGGCTTTTGGTGGTGACACTTGTCCAGTTTACTAATGATACTTGGAAACCACCTATATTATCTAATCTCTTAGTATTATGGCAGTTTCTTTGGAAATTTTAAGTTTTACTAGGGTTGTAAAATATTTTCATTATTAATGGTCTTGGCACTCAGAGCTATATGCTTATGTAAAGGAATAAGGTTGTGGGTCTGCTATTACAGAGTTACTATTTTAATGATTCTTGGAATGCTTCAGTTTTTCAAACTGAATTCTGTAAATTGGCTGTACTACATTGTAGTATTGTCAGCCACAGGGAAAATTAAGCACATCTCTATCTTTCTTGCTTTTCTTATGTTTGCCAAATGAGAACAGTGATAGGGCATTAATGTTACGTCGCTTCCTTATTTAAACATAAACATAACAGCCCAATAATGAGTAGTGTAGAAGCAGAGGCATTTCTTCAAAACCTTGTAACTTTCTAGACCTTTACTGTTCTGCTTGTCCTTGCGTTCTCTTTCTTCCTACTAAAGTTAGGATGTGTTTAAAGATAACCTGAGACTACCATGACAGACAGCAGCAATGATACTTGCTAGAAAGCTAAAATGTGGATACTGCATGCCATCTAAGTCCATGTTCAAAAGATAGTTTAAAAACAAAGACTGCCAAAATTTGATAAGCCCTGTGATTGGGATAAGGAAGTTTTGAGGGAACTAGAATTTTGCCATGTATTACTCTTAGTCCTGAAGTTTTCTTACTTTGGGAAACAATTTTGTTTCAACTTTAAGATAATCATGTTCTATTCTGTCTTCCTGCCCCGCCCAGTGTGTGTGTGTTTGCACATATGCATGTGTCCCAAGAATAAGTATTTATGTTACTGTCTGGCATCCTTATGATTGGGAATTGTTAGAAGGAGAGTGGAAAAACCTAAGAGGGGAGAATGGGAATTCCTAGCTGACTATAGAATTGTGGCTAACTAAGGTGGTAGCTAGTTTTTTCAGGGATGGAAGTGGTTAGATGATGACAAAAAGCAAGTATAAGAGAAATAGAGAAATGTAAAAGAAGTATTTTAGAGAATGTTGAGTGTGTTTAGAATCAGTATATTTTTATAGACCTAAGAATTCTTTAGCATAACTTTAAAAATCTGTCTTCATAGTAATATTAAAGCAATTATTAAAACTCACTAAAGAAATTCATCTTCATATTTAAACTTATAACTCACCCATTCTGTTTGATTGAGAATTTTACACATTTAACTATTGTATATAGTGTAGGAAATAAGAAAATGGATCAAAATCT